TGACACCTTCCCAGGGACACTGTCACCTCCCCCGGGACACTGACGGGGACATTGCCACCTCCCCTGGGACACTGACACCTCCCCGGGGACACTGACGGGGACATTGCCACCTCCCCTGGGACACTGACACCTCCCCGGGGACACTGACGGGGACATTGCCACCTCCCCCGGGACACTGCCACCTCCCCTGGGACACTGCCACCTTCCCCCGGGACACTGCCACCTCCCCCAGGACACTGACACCTTCCCAGGGATACTGCCACCTACCAAGGGACACTGATGGGGACACTGCCACCTCCCCTGGGGACACTGCCACCTCCCAGAGACACTGCCACCTCCCCCAGGGACACTGATGGGGACACTGCCACCTCCCCTGGGGACACTGACACCTTCCCCAGGGACACTGCCACCTCCCAAGGGACACTGACAGGGTCACTGCCACCTCCCCCAGGACACTGACACCTACCAAGGGACACTGCCGGGGACATTGCCACCTCCCCTGGGGACACTGTCACCTCCCCTGGGACGCTGCCGGGGACACTGCCACCTCCCAAGGGACACTGACACCTTCCCAGGGACACTGATGGGGACACTGCCACCTCCCAAGGGACACTGACAGGGTCACTGCCACCTCCCCCAGGGACACTGACACCTTCCCAGGGGACACTGCCACCTCCCCCAGGGACACTGACACCTACCAAGGGACACTGCCGGGGACACTGCCACCTCCCCTGGGGACACTGCCACCTCCCCTGGGGACACTGCCACTTCCCCTGGGACACTGACGGGGACACTGCCACCTCCCAGAGACACTGCCACCTCCCCCAGGGACACTGACAGGGTCACTGCCACCTCCCCCAGGACACTGACACCTCCCCTGGGGACACTGACGGGGACACTGCCACCTCCCCGGGGACACTGCCACCTCCCCTGGGACACTGACACCTTCCCTGGGATGCTGACAGGGACACTGCCACCTCCCCTGGGGACACTGCCACCTCCCCAGGGACACTGCCACCTCCCCTGGGACACTGACACCTTCCCCGGGATGCTGACAAGGACACTGCCACCTCCCCTGGGGACACTGCCACCTCCCCAGGGACACTGCCACCTCCCCCGGGACACTGCCACCTCCCCCCGGGACACTGACGGACACTGCCACCTCCTCCCCACCGTGGTGGCCCCTTGTTCCCATAGGGTGTGATCCAGTGTCCTTGTCCCCATGGGGGGTGACCCTGTGTCCCCTTGTCCCCTTCGGGAGTGGCCCGGTGCCCCTGTCCCTACTGGGGGGTGACCCTGTTTCCCCTTGTCCCCTTCGGGACTGGCCCGGTGTCCCCTGTCCCTGTTGGGTGCCCCTGTCCCTATTGGGGGGTGACCCAGTGTCCCCTGTCCCCATGCCCGGGTGACGCTGTCCCCTCAGTGTCCCTGTCCCCATTGAGGGGGTGATGCCATGTCCCCATGCCCGGGTGACGCTGTCCCCTCAGTGTCCCTGTCCCCATTGAGGGGGTGATGCCATGTCCCCATGCCCGGGTGACGCTGTCCCCTCTGTCCCCATGGGGTGACGCTGTCTGGGCGGGTGTCCCCATGGGGTGTCCCTGTCCCCACAGAGTGACACTGTCCTGGGGTTGTCCCTGTCCCCATGGGGGTAACGCTGTCCCCATGTCCCTGTGGGGTGACGCTGTCCCCACTGTCTCCATGGGGCGACACTGTCCTGGGGGTGTCCCTGTCCCCACGGGGTGTCCCTGTCCCCGTGTCCCCATGTGGTGACGCTGTCCTGGGGGTGTCCCTGTCCCCATGTCCCCGCGGGGTGTCCCTGTCCCCGTGTCCCCGCGGGGTGTCCCTGTCCTGTGTCCCCGTGTGGTGACGCTGTCCTGGGGTGTGTCCCTGTCCCCATGTAGTGACACTGTCCTGGGGGTG